TGCCCAGGCACCCGATGGAGCCTCTAGAGAGCACTAGAAATCTGACTTTTGTCACTGGCACCGCTTCTCTCACAGTGGCCCGTCCCCCAAAGAGTGAGCCATAGGTACCATGAAATCTGAGCATCCTGGCAGGGACCTTGCAAGGGAGGGAGGACCCCAGTTGCCAGCTACTATAATTCCCCAGCAAATCCACCCTGCAGGTAGGTACATAATTGCCTAAGTCATCGACACAACTTTTAATGAAACATAAAGCCACAATGACACCAAAAAATTAAGTGCATATGAGGGGTACATGGCAGGTTGAATTAGTCGCCCTTTCGTCGAGTTGCTCAGCTCCCACTGCCAGCCTCTCACACTGTATTGAAAACCCGAGTCTCAGACGTTGTCTGTTGACACTGTGGGATGCAGGGAGGGGTTGCTCTGAGTGCTGAGATCCTGCTATAATAAAGGAACTGGCACTTTATCATGGAGACCAACTCTACAGATGCTCTCTTGAGACGCAGAGGTATCATAAAGGATAGTTTTTTTTCCTTCCTCCCCTTTTTTGGTGTCAAAGCAGGGTGAGAGGGATTTCTTTCTGAGAAGGGAAAAGGATCCAAAATTCCATTCAAGTAAAGTTAATTTTGTTGGCATTACCTCAACGCTGTCACTTTCTTCTCTTAATTGCTTTCCACACCCATAAAGGGAGAAAAAAAAAAACCCAACAATGAAAAACCACTACCCGCATGAGCTGCCAGGTTCTAATGATAAATAATAACTCTCTAGTGAAACCCTAATTACATGCCAGGCCGTGCAGCGGCCGGAAGCATCCGGTTCTGACTCAAGGCCTCCTGCCCTCCTGGGCAGCACATTAACTAATGCTCTACAAGAACCTGCATGCAGCTGAGCGGTGCAACGTACTTTCATGTCCTGTGGTCACCTTCTAGAAACCCAAAGTCCAAACCACAGGAATAGCTGTAATTCGGTCTCCATGCCTGGCTTGAGGATTTTTTTTTTTTTTTTTAAAGCTTAGAAATCTCACTTATGCCCTTTCTCAATGGATCTTAGCAGTAGTGATTGCATGGATTCAAGTTTGAAAACACAAGTGTAACTACAAGTTCAAGGCTACTTTTAAAAAGATATCACTTCTACTCTGTAGATGCGCTTCACCTCTGGAACTCTCCAACTCTAAGGCACGCCCTAACTGTGGTGATGAGTGGCCTTTCAAACAATGAAAATATGCATCTGACTATATCCTGGCTGGGTGATGTCATGTGACTCGAATCTCTCTACTAGGTATTTACCCAGGAAAAATGAAAATATTTGCCCACAAAAGACGTGTGCGAGAATGCTCATAGCAACAGCACTCATAATGTCTCTATATTGGAAATCTCCCAAATGTCCATCAACAGGGGAACAGACAATTGTGCATCCAACACCACTCAGCAATCAAAAAAACTACTGATATACATGCCTGGGTGAGTCTCACAGGTATCAAATGAGAAAGCAGATGGATTAAAAAAAAAAAAGTACATAGCCTATGATCTCTTTTACATGAAGTTCCAGAATAGGTAGATAAACTAAATATGATGCCAAGTCAGACCAGCAGTTGTCCTAGTGAGGAGATGGACAGGGCGAGGCAGGAGGAAGGCATTTTCTAAGGGGACAGAAATGTCCTGTCTAGAACAGAGGGGTGGTGACAGAATTCATGGGATTGTACACTTAAAATGGGTGCATTTGGTTGAGTATAAACTACACCTGATACAGCTGCCACAGAATTAGATGGGTAAAGGATTAGCTCATCACTCTGAGGGGTGCTTGGTTCTGCAGAGGCCACTTGGACATTCCATAGCCTGAAATTCCACAAGAACAGGACATTCCTGAAAGACTGGAGAGCAGCCCCAGGACCCAAGAAACCCAGGATAAGGCAACAAGACCATGAGGTTGCATGGTCCCCAGGGCCTGCTCCCATCAGCAAGCAGAAGTGGCAGCAGGAAGCCCTGGGGAGAGTGGGCCAGAGCCTGCTTCACAAGCTGGGGACACCTAGTGAGGGAAAGTGCAGACCCAAGTAGGGTCTGTTGGTTTAGAGCTTCCCACACCCACCTAGGAGCCAAATGTGCCTCAGGCACTCAAAGAGGGCTTTCAGCAACCTGGTTCAAATACCCTCTAGCTTTTGCCCACCTTGAGAGTCACTAGCCTGATACAGGTACATCCCTGAGCCTGGAGCCACAATGGGGGAGAAAGGTTTGTAGGGATCATCATTCTGTGGCCTTGACCTCCCTGCACGCATGTGTGTGTATGTACACAAAGTCAACTTCTTTGACACTTCAGGATTTTCCCACGGGGAAATTCACCTCCACCCAATCTCCTACTGCCTGTCCAAGTGGGTTCCTTCCACACACTCCTCCCGGCTACAGTGATTTGTCTCCCCTTTTATAGTCTGACTTCCCCATTTGCTCTAAAGTTAATGAGAATGGGGATTGTGGCTAGTTAGTTTTTCACTGAATATTAAAACACCCAGTCTGGCACATATGAGGGCCCCAACAAATTTGCTGAATGGGTAAATTCTGTACCTGTTACTCAACATGTAAAAATCAAGCAAACACACAAAGAATCACCCCTGTACTCTTGTTCCTACAAGTTCAGTGCAAATGCTGAGAAAATAGTCCTGTCATCCATGCCTGCTTCTAGGAAGGGTGTCTCTGGGAAGCTGGGTTGAGGCTCTTTGTAATACATACCGTCATCGACTTAGACAACAGCGGGCATGGTGGTGCATGCCTGTAATCCCAGCTACTCAAGAGGCTGAGGCAGGAGGACCTCAAGTTCCAGGCCAAGTCTGGACAACTCAAAATAAAATAAAAAGGGCTGGGGCTATAGCTTAGTGGTACAGCACTTGCCTAGCATGTGCAAGGCCCTGGATTCAGTCTGCAGCATTGAAAAAAACAAAACAAAAAACAGAAAACAAAACTTGGATGATAACATTTAAAAGTAGATTTCCCACAATATCAAAGTACTAGTACCTATAGTTAGGAAGCAAAGAGGTCTTACAGATCTGACCATTAAATGCAGCTCATGAGCAACTGCATTCTCTAAAACATGGACTCTTACGGGAAGCATAAACTGTGGAGCCAACATGAGGAAATGAAAAATGATCCATTTGGGAACATAAAATGAGGAGGAAGGACCTATATGCTGACTTGACAGGTCATCTAACACACTGTCTGAAGAGGAAGAATTACCTGTGTGCACGTGCATGCACACACACATATACTAAGCCCAGGACATCAAAGTGCACAATGAAATTTAAAGGAGGAAAAAATAAGATTGGATCTGGCACCAGCCCCACAGCAGGCTTGTCAAAGGGGAGGTCAACGTTATTGTGACATGTCCACTGGAAAGGTCCCTGCCAGACTCCACTGTTGGCCACAGTGCACTTCATACTCTTGGTCACTTAGACATCTGTTAAACTGCTGGCCCAAAGAACCATCTTTATGTCCTGCCCTTGGGTCAGCCATCTAATGCACAAAGCCCAGCAACAGGTATTCGGACATGACCCAGAAAAGCGAACAGAGCCCTGGGCCAGGAGTTGTAGCCTCAGCACCCATTTCCTGCCTGTCCAACCATGACCATCAACTGTGACCCTCACTTGGACTCTGGGCCACAGTTTCTTGCCTAAGTTACTCAATCAACAAAGTGAACTTTAATAAACAAAGCAGTGCACCACAGAAAGAAACCGGATTCTTACAGGAATGGCAGATTTCCAGTTGCTCCCTCCTCGATGTCAGGGCCATGCTCTGGTCATTTATTGAACACTTTATTAGAGTGTTCAATAAATGTGTCCTAGAGCAGAGGCCTAGGATTAAGGGTAATTTTAAACTAAATGCCTTTGGAAATCCATTCTGACTCAGCGTGGCACATCAGAATGTCCTCTGCAGAGATGCCAAATATAAAGAGAGATATGCTGAAGGTACCTGGCAAGGGCTGGCCGGGTACTGCCAGGGGTTTCCTGACAATGGCTGAAAACTCTAAGCTCCAAGTACAGATGTGGATGTCTGTTGAGTACATGGGGTTGGTTTGTGCTTTGGTGTCTGCAGACAAGAAAGCCCAGAAGAAAGGACCTTTGGGATGCTTGATGCTGAGGTGAGGGCTCCTAAGAACAGCACAGGAGGGAGAGAACCAGAGGAGGAAGTGCTGAGCTATGCCTGCCCTGCCAGAAGGCAGGGGAAGATGGGGCATTCTGGGTTGGTGCCCAGGCCGCTGATGCTGTGTGGGGCAGGCCTGGTCAGTCCTTTTTCCCCAAGCCTAATTCTCCCTTCCTCCCACAGCAGTCGGGCTCTGCTTGCCTTGGAATCAGGGCAGGTTTGCCCAAAGAAAGTATGTGGGACCCTGGAAGTTCCCCCTGGTGTCAGGAGAAATAGTAGCCCTTGGTGGTGGGAAAGGTGGTTAGCCCAAAGCAGAAACCAGAACTATAACAAAGGGAAAAACAGGAAGAGTCTGTGAAATAAAAACAGCAAGGAAAGCGTTTGCATCTAACACCCACAGTGTCCTACTTTCACTTTCCCAAGAGATAATTCTGTCATCCCCAACCTGGTGCCAATTGTTTGCTCTGAGTGCACGTGGAAGCCTGCAGTCACTGAGGCAATCCAAACAGAGCTGGACTTGAACTTGGCACTTCCAGGGATGGGTTAGGTCCTCCCCTATGGAAGTGTAAGCTGGGCCATGCTACCTCAGAGGTGAAGGACCCCCAACTTGAGCTGGTGGCTTTCACAGACATTGGCAACCCAGCCTTCTCAAACCCCTAAAGTGGTGTTTACAGGCCAGGTGATCAGATTCCTGGATACCAGGAAGGTGCTGGTCCTTCTGTAAGAACCCCCACTATTGCTTTTCCAGGAGATGCTCCAGGCAGAGCAGTCTCTGATAAAGTTCCCAGTCCCAGTCTGTGAATGCAAGCAAGCCACCTCCAAGCCAGTCCAGGTGGCTGTGGGGATGAGCGAACCATCCATCTATCCCACGCTACTCACCATGTATGAAGGAAAGATCAGAACTCGCTTGTGCTTGCCACAAGGCCACTGGGGGTCATCCAAGAGATTTGGGTCATAGTCCATAAAGTCTCCCAGGTCACTACCTGAAGATCACATGCAAAATGATAATTAGGGGCCCTGGACTCTCTGAGGCAGAGGCAGCTAGGAGAATGCCAAGTACGGTCACTGAAGACAGTTTTCAGGGAATTTGGTTCAGTGTCATATCTCTGGCTCTGGCTTTTAGCAGACGGCTCTGCATGCCAATGAGAGGTAGCCCCTTGCCAAAGGGTTCAGCAAATTCTTACCATTCTCTCTTTTTTCCTTCCATCTTAGAAAATTATATATTAATCTTCCTGACCCAGAAGTGTAGAAATCTTTACATAGGACCTAAGATGCAGAGAGCCCTTGCAGGTTATAGAATGTGGCCTTGAAAAGATTCATTTTCTAAATTTGCAGGCCAAATTACTAGACTCATGTCACGCCATCTAAGAGGCATGACTTAGCGTGAAAGCTTCTGGGCAGGCTATTGTGTGCAGAGCAACTCAAACCAGAGCATCCACCGGCGCACACAGCTGTAAAAGACCACAGGTGTCTGGGACATGAGGGCAGAGGCTGGGCTGACCTACGGAACTGCACATTCACCTGGAATTTCTCTGAAAGTAGAAATAATGCTACTTCTTAAAGAACTGGCACCCTCATGCCAATCCTTACCAAGGTTTGTGTGGACAGAGTTGGGATACGCACATCTTCCTTCAGTTGCCAACTTTGCTCGCCAGTATATCCACAAAGGAAATGATCACCCTGATTCTGTACTTCAGGGTCCAATTATTTTAGGGGAAAATAAACAGGAGAAAAGAACAAAACAAACGAACGAAAGAACCCCAGGGTTCCACACTGTGACAATGCAGGACGTAACCAGGCGAAAGGTGAATGAGGAGCCAAGTGGTCCACACAGAAGCGGGAAACCCAATCAGCTCTAAATGATGCAACTTTAGCATTTCTCCATGTAGGTAAGACCCTACAGGATTGGCAAGTGTGGCATCTAGAGGTAAGATCCCCTGTCACCTGGTTATGGGCCTACATGGCCTGAGATCAAGTTTTCCCTAAAGTAGAGTCTTCTGGGGGCACCTGTCCTCCAGCGTGCAGAGGGAGGCACAAACCACACTGTAAACTGAGGCACCTCCTGTCACCAACTACCCAGAGCAGATGGGCCAAAGTTACCTGTGTCGAGGCTCCCCTGGGTGCTGCTGGCCCGGCCTATGGAGAGGCTGCGGTGGCTCAGGTTGCGGAACTGGGAGAAGGAGGAGGTGGAGTCTATAGTATTCCTCCGGGCTCCGAAGGCATTTGTGGGTAACAGAAATTGGGTATAAGAAACTGTCTAAAAGGTAAACAAACAGACAAACTAGTGATTATTCCCAGGCAATGCTAGGTTTGCATTCTGACCAAGATATGTGGCTCCTCCAAGTTCAGACCTACTTTTTAAAAACCTGCAATTCTAAAATTTTAAAATCTACTTTTTAAAAACCTGCAATTCTGAAAAAAAAAAATTTGGCACTCACACATGCCAAATTTGTGCCCAAATTCCACCCTAATGGACATGAGGTGAAACATAGTTTTAACTGAGCTCACGTAGTGTGACTATTCTCATTTTGTGGCAGAAACGTTAACATGTCGGACACATTGTATGGCTTTTTATAACCTATCCGGCAGGATTCCAGAACACATAAGGCCACAGAATCTCCCATTATGTTCCTCAGCAGATGCTGTTTGTGATGTCCAGCTCTATTCCTCCCCTCCCTCCTTCCTCTGTGAGCGTTGGCTCCTGAGGTATAAAGGCGGAGCAAATGCAGTTCTTTTCTCCTGCCTGGGGAAGTGCACCCTACCTATACCTGGAGCTCAGGGTTCCTGTCATTCAGGTAGAGGAGTGACCCGTTAATCTGGGGGTAAAGAGGGCAAAGGTCATTCACTGCCCCAGAAGCTTCCCCTGTTGGAACTATTCTGGGATGGTTTCCCCAAAGAAACACAGGCTTTGGGAGGGTTGAACTTAGTGTATGCAGGTCAAGTTCATTTTCAACTTTTACTCCTCAGATTTCAACCCAGCTTGAAACCATTTAAGGTTGAGGGATTCTTGGCCCCTTGGGACCATGAGAAGCCAAAAACTTCTTTCTAATAGCTGGAATGTTGCTTGCTTACACCACTAGTTAATATGTTCAAAATGCCACTTCATCCTGGCATATGCATGTATTGTGGGTGAGGTGGGCAGAGTGTGTGAGGTACTTGTGTTATACACTCAGTTGTCAACAGTACTGACAGGAAAATACACATGCCCAGTGGACTCCACCACATGGTTATTGAAACAGCTTGGTGGGTTTCCATGTGCACAGTGGCAGAGCTGGGGTGGGCTGGTATCACATGCCCAGGAATCTGCCCCCAGAGCTTGCTTCCCGCCATCACAAGTGAGGTTCAGTCTTACTGCCTCTGCTCCCTGCCCCTGGTGATTGAGGGCCAGGTGGACTTACCTTTCCGTCAGCACCCAGCTCCACACCTTCAAGACCAATGATCTCTTTCAAGCTCATGGCGCCTGCTGACTGCCTCCCTCCATCCAACTTCAGATCCCTGGGGAGTACAAGCCAAAGGAAAAAAATGCTTTTGTGTGCACCCCAAAGAACTACGATGATGTTTACTACCTGAGACACCACAGTCACGCTGACAAAATGACCAAGTGGGTCCTGGGGGATGGGATGGGATGACCTTGTGTCCTTCCTTGGGGGCCTCACAGCGAGGTTCTTTCTGGGGGCAACTCCATTTTATTTCATTTACATGGACAAACGAAATCCAGTTGATCACAAGGTCTGCAGATGGGAGTTGGGCTCAGAAGCTGGAGGTGACCAAAGTCACCTCTTCCTCAGCATGGGGCCCTGCATTCTCAGAGAAGGCCAGTTACCGAGGAGCCAAGGGAATGCTCTCTGAGCACCTGGGACAATTGGGCCTCTGGGGCTCCTGCTGCTGGGTTCTTTTTAAAGCTAGTGAGGCCACCTCTCCTTTACCAGACAGAGAAGTAAATCTCCTAAACAGGCATCCATCCGTTTCACTGCTGGCAATGAGAGAATGAGTGGCACAACAGTCACCCTCACTCGTTTTCTAGGTAGCCTGACAAGGTAGTATCTTCTTTATAAGAGAGTAATTCCCAGTAAAACGACAAGCATTTACACAACACCACACAATTCAAAGACTTGCACACACACACACACACACACACACTTGTAAGGAAACTTGTAGGGACAAGACAGGCATTACTATCGTCAACCCATTTTACAGAGGGGGAAAGAAAGAGGTTTAGGTAAATGGCTTGCCAAAGCCACTGGGATAATACGTTGAAGGGAAAAGTCTTGTGCCCAATGCTCTTTCTAGTACCTTTGCTTTGCTTTGGCGATGCGAGATGGGCTCCCCCATGACTACCCTCATGTGCAACTGCTCACTTTGTCAAAGGATGATCCTCCTTCCTTATGAGTTTTTCAAACCTTGCTGCACATCAAAGTCACTTGGGGGCCTCTGAGAATATGGGGAGGACCTGGGCATCCACACATCAAGTGACCCAGGTGACTCTAAATTGCAGCCTCGTTTGGGGACCATCTCCCAGCCTCTGTCTCTATGATATAGGGCACTGGTAAGGGAAAGCCACCTCAGACTGAAAGCCTCCTCACTGTGTGACCTGGGCGGAGGGACCATATTCAGGGACTGAGAAGCTAAGTAAGAACAAGCCATACATAAAGGGAAGACTCTCCTGGCCAAAGGTATCCAGGGAGAAAGAGAGAGGGACAGAGTGGGAGTGGGGAGAAGAGAGCACACCCCTCTCAAAGCTGGAGGACAAACAGGTTGTCCTCATCTGTGCCCTTCCAAGGATGGACTGGGTCTCTGATCTTATGTAGAATGCAGAGTCTGGTCTGAGACAGTTTTCAAAATAAACACCCCCGACCCTCGGCACCCAGCAAGTGCAGCAATCCTGTCCTCAAGAGGCGATGGCACCGGTGTGCTCAAAACACCACCAAAGCCACAGAACAAGAGCAACCAACCCACCCATCCCACAAGTCTTCACTCTTTCTATTTATTTTACTTTAATCAGCGCTTCTCCCATTCCTCCACCCATACCCCATGCGTGTAAAAGACTTCAGGTCATTCTAAACAGCCAACCTGCCCCTTAAGGGACAGAAAAGGACAGTAAGTCTTACAATTGTCAGTGTTTTCAAGAAGGTGCAAGTCACCCAAATGAGGGCTCTAAACACGTTCTGAGAAGGAAGCCCTTTTCCATGTGTCTGAAATCTTCCACACGTGTCCCCTCTGGCAGGGACCACACTCCCTGAGGGCTACGAGGCCGAGGATTATTTAAACCCAAACATGCTGTGCCCACCTTCAACTCGCTGCTGCCAAGACCCAGCAGGCCAGAGGACAGCGGGGCTCAGTGAGGCCACCAGGTACTGTCCACACCTACAAGACCTGCTACTCTGCCTGCTACTAAGCTACCCAGGGCAATTTCTAGAAGCCTTTGGAAAGCAATTAAGGATGGAGACATGAACACATCAGAGCACCCACACAGGGAGAAATGCCTACAAAGAAAACCTTGAGCAAAGCAAGGAGGCAGAAGTCGCACGGTGGGGAGGGACCGAGGGGACCAACAGCAGCAGTGCTGGTACAGAAAAGCAGGCTTTGGTTTCCGTGAAGGCCTTGGCATAGTTCCACACACTCTGACTTTGCTAAAGCTGAACCCAGCAACGTGTGTCTTAACTTCCCACTTTCCAATTTCCTCCTTGTTTTCATTTTGCCACACAGAGAATGTCATTTAGGGCTGAAATTAATAGAAAAGAAGGGAAGATCTTCTCAGGGTGAGAAGGCCAAGGGAAAGGAGAATGTTAAAGCCAGCCTGAATTAGGAGCACTCCCAGGGGAGCACTAGGCTGTCTACACAGCATCTCACAGGTAAGGACACTGAAGGACTTATTTACTGAGCAGGAGTAGTCTGTCTCACTGTCCTGGTTTATAAAGATGGGATGAAACATGGGTGCTTTTTCATTGAACCCCTCTTCATTTGTCTTCAATTTGCTCACAGCCTTCCCTGGAACAGCCTCATCCCGGAGGCCAGTTGTCTGTTTGCAGCTAAAGGTACAGATCCCAGTGAATAGAAGCAAACCAGCCATGGCTCACCCCACACCCTGCTTCTCGGCGCCTCCCTCAAGGGAAATGAAGCTGTAATAGAAAATATACTCTATGTGCTCATCTTAAACCTAAGAGTCCTCTCTCCAGGAGCTGAACCCCAAACCCTTTTTAAAAGATTTGCAGACCCAGTGGATTGTCCAAGGGCCTCGGGGACATGAAAGAGGATCGGGCGAGGCTCCACCACACCTACCCAGAGGAACCGATCTGGACAATTAGTGTGACTTGCTGAAGTCACTACATCCCACTGGCTTTTCACTTAACGTCATTCTACTTTCTAAGCAGCTGGGGCCAAGCGTAAGGAAATAAGGAAGACCAGTGAGTCCACTTTCAACTGCACCCGAAATTACATATAGACTAAGACAGACCAGCACTGTCCACCAGAACTCCATCTGTGCTGTCCCATGTGACAGTCACGGGGCATGTGGCAAGTGAGAACTTGGAAAGAGATCAGCTAACTGAGGAACCCAATTTTTTTTTTCACAATACCTTTATTTATTTTTATGTGGTGCCGAGGATCAATCAAACCCAGTGCCTCACACATGCAAGGCAAGTGCTCTACCACTGAGCTACAGCCCCAGCCTTTGAGGAACCCAATTTTTATGTTATGGTTTGGATATTAGGTGTCCTCCAAAAGCTCACCACTATGCAAGAAGGATTAGAGGTATAAATGATTAGGTTATGAGAGCCTTAACCTAATGAATTGGGTACTAATTGTAGGCAGGTAGGGTGTGGCTGGAGGAGGTGGGTCCATGGGGATGTGCTTTTTGTCCTTATTAAGTGGAGCTCTCTCTTTCTGCCTCCTGGTACCAAGCTCTGTGCTCCTTTCCTCCGCCATACTGTTCCACCATGATGTCCTGCCTTACCATGGGTCCAGAGCAATGAAGTTGGTCATCTATGAATTGAGACCTCTGAAACTGTGAGCCCCCAAATAAACTTTTCTTCCTCTAAAACTTTTCTTGTCAGGTCTTTTGGTTCCAGCAGTGATAAAGCAGATAATGCAAATTAATTGAAATGTAAAACAGCCACAGGTGGATGATAAGTACCATACTGGATTATCTTAGTGCTTGTCAGGACTTAGGCTGCCATGAACTGGTTGGTACCTTCCCATGGCAAGACAATATGTCACAAATGACACATTTCTGATTCTGATCTGGTCTCTTAATTTTTCTTCCCCAAAATGGCTTGGCCATTTTTTTGTCTGTTGTCCTCAGGACATGTTTACCTAATAGGCCCCAGCTCACTGAAGAGACTGTCAGATGTCCTAGAGACAAGACCCAGCAGGATTCCCCCAGTGGGGTGGGAAATAATGACCGTGGGGTTCTCATGCTCAGCACTCCATCACCATCCTTGAATAGAGCTCCCAGCCTTAACAGAAGCTCCCAGTCCAAACATGGCACACTGTAGTGGACTTTCCTGCCCAAAGCAATGGGGGTAGGAGCGGTGGGGTGTTGACAGTGCTGGAAAATACCAGCAAGCAATGACTGGTTGTGCTCCCCAAGTCCTAGGGATTACAGGAGCCTCCGGGTCCTTCACATGATCCTGGAGAGGAGGAGGGAAGGATACCCCAGGATAAATAAATTTGAAAGTCCTTTCAGTCCTGACAAAGGGGGACTAATAGTTCATATTAAATAGATTAAAAAATGATAATTTATTGCACACTGAATCTACTACCCTGGAATCTGCTACATTCACACTTTAAACACTCCACTGGCATAATAACAACCATCATACCACTCTAGACCACTGATTGCTTCATGGTGGCCGGGGGACAGACACTTTTCTGTACATTTTCTCTCTTGGATTCAGGGAGAGGTTGTCACTAGCTTTGGGGTTCCCATCTTGGTGGGCGTAAACTAAGAGAACACATAGGTGCTCGGTCCCACCACAGAAAACAAAACAGGTCATTGAAGCCATTTCTAATGAACATGGGTTCCCTTTTTTCAACTGTCGAATTTGTGTAGAGGGAGATTGTCAGGATCTGAAAAACATTTTTCATAAAAAGGCTGATAAACTACTCTGGGTTAATTTTTCTCTTAGCTAAATGCTCTGAATAATGTCACTGTAACCTGAAATTAACGTAAATCATAGGAAATTGCTCTTCTTTGGCTGTATTTGACCCATATAATGACAGCAATTTTACAATGTACCCACTAATAGTACTGATGACTGCTCAGGCTTTGAGTGGCCTTTGCTTTCCCATGGTTTCAGAAGCCTAAAGGGTTAGTGTTGCCTACAGACAGTAACTGTGAACACTGGATAGTCATTGAAAAAGAATATTTAAGACACTCTAGTGAAAAAGAATTCAGCAGAAATCCCAGTGGAGTAGCGATAAAAATCTCGATGTTTCCCAACATCACTGTTCTGAATTCTAATAAACGTTATGAAAATGAAAATATCTGTTTGATT